GAAAAGTTTGCATACTTAATTCTTTAGAAAGGAAGGTCATGCTGTTGTAAGAATTCGTACATTTAGCAGTTCTGCTGGTAAAACCAGTACTCGATAGTGTTTTGGTGCATTTTGTTTCCTGAGAAGATCACAGGAGTTTGTTATCGCTTACTGGCTTACAGCTGTTACGCTTGGACCAAAATACGATAAATACACTGTTCTGTATTCTTCTACAAGATTTTGTAAACATGCTAAGATATCCTTGGGTAGTTAAAATGCTTAATATGGCAGAGGAGGTTAAATAGCTCAATTTGGTGCATTTCAATGTGATATACAGACAGAATAAAAGCATGTAATGTTTGCTTTTTACTACAAATGGATCTAGATTTCAGAACTTTATCAGATGTTTCCTTTGAGGAATAAGAATGAGACCTCATCCCTCGTAACTCTTAAGCATAAGGTATCAGCCACAAAAAAACTTGAGATCCGACAATGATACCAATCCTAGGGTGAGGTGATTCCTCAAACTCAATCTGTATGTCAACTTGAGGTTGCGGGAAAATAGATGAGAAAAATCATAATTTAGTGGCACATGCTTGGCTTTACCTTTGATAGAGCTGTAATCCAGTATGGATGTTTCTAATTGTTTCTTCTTCCCAATAGGAGTTGATTATTGCAAAAATAAGCTTTGTAGGGCTGAGTTTGGAATATAATACTTTTGTTTACTGAAAGATAACATTGACATGGACACAGTTCTAGAAAATTTGTCTTAAATTGGACCATCAAAACATCTCATAACGATTATCTTGTTATTTTAGGTTGGCCGTTACTTCTTTATTTTATTTTATTGTACTCTTATATTTTGACTTTGCTCTCTCTTATTAGTGGGAGGACAGGGTGGCCCGAGGCCTATTCAGATATGACGTAACAGCCTGCGAGACCAAGGTGATTCCTGGCGAGCTTGGGTTTGTTGCACAGCTTAACGAAGGCCGCCACCTCAAGAAGCGCCCGACCGAGTTCCGTGTTGACCGTGTGCTCCAGCCATTCGATTCTGCCAAGTTCAACTTCACCAAGGTTGGCCAGGAGGAGGTTCTCTTTCGCTTTGAGAAAGGTGGTGGCGACAGCAGCTATTTCCTTGAAAATGCCCCAAGCACTGAGGGTGACCATGCTCCCAGCGTTGTTGCAATCAATGTACACATCTTTCAGCCAAAATTTACCTTTATTCCAGAATATAAATCTTGATGTTAACACTGGTACTTCCAACGGATTGCAGGTGAGCCCTATTGAGTACGGTCATGTGCTTCTCATTCCACGTGTCCTTGACCGCCTGCCTCAGCAAATTGATCCTGAAAGCTTCCTGCTTGCACTACACATGGCAGCTGAGGCTGCAAGCCCATACTTTAGGCTTGGTTACAACAGCTTGGGTGCCTTTGCCACCATCAATCATCTCCACTTCCAGGTACTTTAAGTCATTACACAAAGGCCTAACTTCTGTGCTGTAAACATAGTTGATAATTGTGGTGATCACACTAAAACTTTGTTTTTTGTACAGGCATACTACCTGTCAGTACCTTTTCCTGTTGAGAAGGCGCCTACCAAGAAGATCCCCCTTGCCAAGTGTGCGCTGAATAGTGGAGTGAAGGTGTCAAAACTGACAAATTTCCCCGTGAGAGGTCTGGTGTTTGAGAGAGGGAACACACTGAAGGATTTGGCTGATGTGGTTACCAACGCTTGCATTTGGCTCCAGGAGAACAATGTTCCTTTCAACGTCCTCATCTCTGATTCCGGTAGAAGGATCTTCGTTTTTCCTCAGGTAATTTCCGCAGTAGAGTCAAAAGCTTCTTTCTGCAAATATGATATCATTACTAATCCATCAAGAAATATATCTATACTTCTATATAGTGTATGAGTTTTGAATTGTAGCAACAATATCAATCCTAGCCGTTCGTCTCATAAATCTAGCGGTTGAGAATGAAAGGATTCGCAGTGAACAGTAGCCCGCACCTGCATCTGCTGGTTTCTAGAACAATCATGTCACACCTCCTCTCTTCTCGCCATGTTACATGTGCCATTGCGTCTCATAAATCTAGGTAGTTTCCGCTGCAGCCGAGTGAAATGCAAAAGACCATCACAATAGACATTTCATTAGCAGAAAACCATCACTTTATAATCCATGGCAAAAATTATCCATGGAAAAATTGACAGTAGTAAAAACACTTATGTTAAATGCTAATTGCTTTTATTTTCTTCTAATTGTCTTCGACATGTTTTTGAAATAGAATGAACACAATTTTCTTTGATATAACATGATTTTAAAGAAAAATAGCTATAAAGTTCAAAGTATCAACTTGTTCAACACTCGAGGTTGTAGAACTCAATTTAAGTTAACACGTATGTAACACTCTTTTGTAGTTTCAGAATATATTTTGACGATTTTTCATCAAATCTATCGCGTGTTCCGTAACATTTGTGAACATTGGCTCCCCGCTCCTTTCCGGCCCTCATATCTAAATTCTGGCTCCGCCCTCGGCCGAGTACGAGAGATGTATGATCTGGGAGGAGAAACAAAAGCAAACAATTTGTGGGTTCCACCACATACATCTTTTTCCCTAAGGAAATTCCACAGGCATTGTATCATGCCAATTACCAATTTTTCTATTACATTTCTGCATGCATACACCAGTAATATTATTTTTTGCTTTGAATTCATTGCAAAGTACTATATACTTTTCTTTTCTTTTACAAGAATCATAGGAACAATACTGTTAAGACGTGCATTGCACGTGTATACATACTAGTATTCTCAAGGTAGATTTTCTGCAAACATGAAATAATTTCTGTAGCTTAAAGTTTTGTGAAACACCATTTATTTAGTCTTCATTGTTAAATTAGATCACTGCCACATTAATTGCATAATGATGTTGGCTGCTGTCCCCATTTGTACCTCCCTGATGTTTTCTAATCTTTCCTGTTGCAAATGCGCAGTGCTATGCCGAGAAGCAGGCTCTCGGTGAAGTGAGCCAGGATCTGCTAGACACGCAGGTGAACCCTGCAGTATGGGAGATCAGTGGCCACATTGTTCTGAAACGGAGGACGGACTTCGAGGAGGCTTCAGAAGCATCAGCCTGGAGGCTTCTCGCTGAGGTGTCTCTGTCGGAGGAGCGATTTGAGGAGGTGAAGGCATGTATCTTTGAGGCCACCGGCCTCACTGAATCTGACGAGGAAGAGGAATCCAGTGAGTCTCCTTATGCATCGTCATCCTCCGTCCCACGAGCCTCTTCACACATGTCGGAAGGTTGCCTTGTCCTTCAGTGAGAGAGTAAAGGAAATCTTTCAGATCGCTAGGTTCGCATTATCTGTGGCTGCTTGGTGTTAGCAGGGATCCCAGTAATTGTACCGTGTCCGCTCTTGCTTGCTACTTCTGCCTCTGATCTTTAGCTACCGTTGTTGGCTACTAGTTGCTGGTGTTCATACTGTGCAGTTTATTATTAAGCACAGGCATGCGTGTTGGCTTGTTTATAACTGAAATGCATTGGTGTGTTCATCGCCCGACCGCGTTTCTCATTCTAAACTGCTACCTTTGCCTTTTCATTTGTATTTTTCTTTTGTCAAGCTTATCATTTGCACATGGCCACCGCAAATGGATCTATGATGAGATGCAGACATAACTGATAGGGGATTGAAGCAGCCATGAAAGACTGAAAGACCCGTGATGCAACTACAGACAGATAAATGATACTAGCTGTAAGAACACATTGTTCAGACAGGAGGAGGTGCAAAAATTTCAGCTTATTTTGAAGTTATCACATCGTGAAACGCCAAACACCATGCTATTGGTCAGATTTCTGGCAGAAGCTTCAGCATCACCTAAGCTCCAAATCATTCTTTTCTTTCACCGATTGGCAAATGCAAATTTCACCAAATCTAACTCACAGATTGTTTTTCATTTATTAATACTGGCTACATAAACAGAGTGATTCATGTTATCACTAACTGAATTTCACAAATGAAAACTTATACCAGAGCATTTGTGGAAGAGCGCGGACATGTCGCGGTCCTAGGCACAGGCGAAGTCGATGCACAAAGTCTCAATCCCAGGCACAGTCGCAGAGATGCACAAATGGCCTGCTGGTTGCAGTTTGGATGTTGGACCTGCATCCAAATCCTGGCCCGCATGGAACTTAAAGTACCGTTAGGTCTGACTATAGAAACACTTGAATCTTCTGTTTTCAGCGAGCCAAGCCTGAGTGATGCAAGGTACCATATGTTGCTGCAGACCGTTGCACGTGTGGGTATACGCAGGAGCCGTCACGTTGTTTCTCAAAGTGACACCATAAACCCTCTCACCCCTTTCTCACCTCTCACTCTTCCCTCTCCCCATTCTCTCACCGGCTGTGGCGAGCGTCATTAGAGGCAAGATTTGGACGGCGAGCACCAAGGATGACCATCGACTGCATCACCGCTTCATCTCCCCTTCGCCACCCTATGGCTGACGTGGGTGACAGTTGGGAGATCCCCACCCCCTGCGAGGGTTTCTTCCATCGCTTCGGCCCAGTCCGATGGTACCCTGTCCGGTGATACATCTCCAACATAGCTATAATTTATCAAGTATTCATTCTATATTTACATCAATTATATATGGTTTTGATGCACTTTATATTATTTTTATAGACTAACATATTAATCTAGTGCCCAGTGTTAGTATCTGTTTTTTTGCATGTCTTTAGCTTCGCGGAAAATCCATATCTAAGAAAGTCCAAACACGATGAAAATTCACAAGAATTTTTTGTGGAAAATAAGAAACATCAGAAGCTTTGAGAGGCAGCCACAAGAAGTCCGAGGGCTCCACAAGGCCAGGGGCGCCCCCTAGGCCACGCCACCCAGGCTTGTGGGGCCCTCGAGGCTCCGTTTGACATAATTTCAATAATAAATTACGTAATATTCTAAAGCCCACGAAGCGAGGCCCAAAATAATTTTATCGCCGCCATAAGCCTCTGCTTCGAAGCGTTCTCATCTGGAGCCCTTTTTCGGCACTCTGTCGGACCCACCCACGGAGGCTTCTTCATCAACCTTACTGCCTCCATGATGATGTGTGAGTAGTTTATCCTCAAGGCTGAGGGTATGTACTAGTAGTTATGTGTTTGATCTCTCACTCTCTGATGTTCTTGATGAATTCGATCTTCATTGTATCATGAGCTTTATTAATAAAGTTGGATCATATGATGTTTGTCCCCCTCTACCATTTTTGTGGCGAATTGATTCTTCCTCTTTGAAGTTTCTTTATGTTGGATTGAATACTTTGGAGTTGAGATTGCATGATGTGTGTGTAGTATTAATTTGCGATACACATGGTGATATTGGGGTATTCTAGGTGACATAAAGGTTGAACGATACGATATCATATGGTGTTGCCGTAGTATATTCTCTAGAGCTATCTGTGACACTTTGGGGGTGGTTTGAAAGATGGATTGGAAAGATAACTTTGAGGTGGTTTTCCTACCTACACAATTTTATCCTACTTTCTCCGATAGAACATAAACTTTGGAGTGATTCTTTGCTGCACTTTGAGGGATTATCACGTGGTTCAATTATGTTAATGATGTTGAGAGATTGCACTAGTGAAAGTATGAACCCTAACCCTTGTTTCCGAGCATTGCAACACCATTTTTGCTCACTTTCGTTACTTGCTACCTTGCTGTTTTTATTTATTCAGATTATATAAATATATTTCTACCATCCATATTACACATATATCACCCTCTCTTCGCCGAACTAGTGCACATATACAATTGACAACTGTATTGGGTGCGTTGGGACACAAGAGATTTCTCGTATTTGATTGCATGATTGTTTGAGAGAGAACCATATTCATCCTACACCTCCCATGATTTGATAAACTTCATCCACTTGAGAGAATTTTTCTACCGTCCTACAAAACTCTGCTTGAAGACCCAACATTGTCTACAAGAATAAAGTTGAGTAGTAGACACCAAGCTATTTTTGCCGGCCTTGGCGGGGAGGTGAGTGCTTGAAGATATCTTCTTTAGATCTTCCAATTGAATCTTTTAGTATTTTGTTTATCACTAGTTTGGTTTATAAAAGAAAAATACAAAAAATAAATGGAAATGAAGTTATGTGAGATTCTTTCTCTTTATGAAGTCTCTCGTGAAAACTATGAATCGGATAATCTTCATGAAGTGTTAAAATAAGAATTTAACAAAATGTTTAGTGTGAGTTTCTTGAATGATAAGCATGATTGCAATGTTATTAGTATGTACTCTATGAATATCAATTGTGCTGATGATATGCAAAGCCATAAACTTGGGGATGCTATGTTTGATGAAGATGATCTTTTTAGTGCCCTTACTTTTGATGGAAAAATTACTATGATGAGAACATGCGTCCTATTTATGATGATTACAATGACGATGAAAGTGGGTTTGGAAGAGTGTCAACTTTAGGTAATAATTATCCCACTACTTTTGAGGGTGCTGAATCTTATTACAATGATAAAAGTGGATTTGGAGAGGTCATGACTTTATTTAGTGTTGAATCCACTACTTTGGAAGATGTGTCAATTTATTATTATGAGAACAAAGTTGCTATGCATGAAGATTATTGTGATGACACTTATGTATAAAGAATAATTATAACCATGAAACTTCTCATCATGATTTTAATGCTCAAATTGATTATGTCAATCAATTTTCATATGATAGTTATTTGGTTGAATTTTCTCCTCCTGCTATTGATGGAAATAAATTTGCTTATCTGGAGAGTAATAAAATTTCTATGCATGCGGATCATGAAAAGATTGTTTTTTATGTGATAGTTATATTGTTGAATTTGTTCATGATGCTACTGAAAATTATTATGAGAGAGAAAAATATGCTTATATAAACTTCAACAACATTAAGTTTTCTCTTTTTATGTTGAAAGTTTTAAAGCTACACTTGTTTTGCCTTCCTATGCTAGTTGATTCTTGCTTCAATAAATTGTTTGCTTATAAAATTCGTATGCATAGAAAGTGGGTTAGGCTTAAATGTGTTGTCTATATGATTCATGATGCTCTCTTATGTTTCAATTCATACTTTTATGTGAGCATCATTAAAATTATCATGCCTAGCTAAAAGGCATTGAAGAAAATTACTTGTTGGGGGGCAACCCAATATTTATCTTTACTATTTTTGTGTGTCTACATGATTAATGCTACTGTAGTAATCCTGTTTTGTACCTTTTATTGTTGGGGAATGCAGTAATTTCAAAAAAATTCCTACGCACACGCAAGATCTATCTAGGTGATGCATAGCAACGAGAGGGAAGAGTGTTGTCCACATACCGTCGTAGACCGTAAGCCAAAGCGTTATCACAACGCGGTTGATGTAGTCGTACGTCTTCATGATCGGACCGATCCTAGCACCGAAGGTACGGCACCTCCGCGATCTGCACACGTTCAGCTCGGTGACGTTCCACGAACTCTAGACCCAGCTGAGTTTCGAGGGAGAGTTTCGTCAGCACGACAGCGTGATGACGGTGATGATGAAGTTACCAACGCAGGGCTTCGCCTAAGCACTGCAAGGATATGACCGAGGTGGAAATCTGTGGAGGGGGCATCACACACGGCTAAGAGATCAACTTGTGTGTCTATGGGGTGCCCCCCTCCCCCGTATATAAAGGAGTGGAGGAGGGGGAGGGCCGGCCCCTTTATGGCGCGCCCAAGGGGAGTCCTACTCCCACCGGGAGTAGGATTCCCACTACAAGAAATATGTCAACTTGTGACCACCACTATTGGTCACTGAATGGTCACAAATTTCTATTTGTGACCTTTTTGTGACCAAAAACATAAGGTCAAAAGCTGGCCGTCATAAACTGACATTAGCGACCTTTCTTCTGGAATGGTCGCAAACGTTTATGACCAAAAAGGTCATAGATTTAACGACCAACTGTTTTGGTCACTAACAATCCGACCACACCATGTCAGATCCACCGTGGCAAGCTGACGTGGCAGACTTACGACCAAATGAAAAGGTCGTAAAATAGAATCAGTCCGGTCCATTTCAGTCGTCTTGATGGGCTAAGCCCAATAATTCAGCCCATTTAATTTATTTTTTCTCTTTATTTTGCTTATCTGCATGGGCCTGGCCCAATAATTTGGCCTTTTATTTTCTGGGAATGGAGCCTTTTTCTGATGAATTTTTTTTATATTCCACTATTGTTTTGGGCCACAGCCTTTTTAGTCTAGTTCGAATTTGGGCCTTGGCCTTTTTATTTTGTGTTATGCAGCCTTTTGTAATTTTTTTTCTTACATTCATTTCTTTTTTTAGGCCCAAGCCTTTTTAGTCTAATTCTTGTTTGGGCCTCGGCCTTTTTAGAGCCCAGGTTCATATTTTGCATGACTTCAGAAAATGATCAACAAGCCCAGGTTCACAAGATCCACATAACTATAAACATGCCCAGGTTCACAAGATCCACAAGGCATAAAACAGCCAGGTGCAAAACACTACCAGATGCAAAACACTACCAAGTGCAAAATGCAACAAACACTACCAGATGAAAAACACTACCAGATCCACATAAGTTCACGACCTACTACGACATAACTTCACATCAAGTTCAAAGACAAACTGCACAGCAAGTTCAAAGACCATCAAACTGCCTTAGCTCCAAAGAGAGCCATCAAGTGAGCTAACTTCTCTTCCTGCTCTTGAGACTTCTTGCGCAGCAGCTCAAGTTCCTTGCCGCGTGCAGCTTCAGATTCTTCCGCCTTCATCTTGATTGCCGCCAATTCTTCTTGCATCACTTTAGCTTGAAGCTCAGACCTCTCCAGCTTCTGCTCAAGGTCACGAACATGAGAAGCAACTTCAGTTGTTGCTTTGCCGGAGTTGTTCCTAGATGACTGGAGCCCAACATTCCTGAGGAATGTGCTTTGCTTGACTTCGGTCTTGAGGACTTGTTCGACAATTTCAACAGCAGACTTTGGCTCTTCACTTTCTGGTACCGGCGCGTCCTTCATTTTTTCCATCTCAAGCTAGCATATGGAGGAAAATGATAGGCATTAGTGGGAGATCTATTTCACATTTTGCAAACCAAACCAAGCAAGAGAAACCAAACCAGCACACAAATGGATTATTTAAAGTAACCAAACCAGCACACAAAATCTATACAAGAAGATGATGCCTAGTGACCTGGAGACATGCAATTGGAACAATATGATCACTTCATTAAGCCTAGAATGGTGGTTCTATAT